ATTATTGCTATAGAAAAAAGGTCACTTAATCATGTAAAAAGACCCTATGCTATTCAATCCTATTTAGCCACAAGATGCTCAAGAGTTCACACACACAAAAAAAAATCCACAGAAAAAACACAAGCCTAGCCACTGGAAGGCAGTGTATCAGTTCGTTTTATTTGGGTATTCAATAATATCCTTGGTGATAATGCTGACTCCATGGCTTCTGACCCCAGAATTGACCCTGCTGCCACTGGTTGTAGCCCTGAGATTGATTTTTGTAGCCACGATTGTTTCCTCGTCCTCTGAAGTTCTGGTTGTAGTTCCCTCTGTTGGGCATTCCACCTCTGTTGTAGTTCCCTCTGTTTGAATAACCACCTCGGCTGGGAAAAACAGGGCCACGAGGGTACGGATAGCCGATTCCACCACTTCCGCCACCACCACCACCTCTCTGTGGCATATTGCCCCTCCTGTTATATCCACCACGATTCCCAGGAGCTCCCCCTCCGAAATTTCCACCACGCATATTGAATCCTCCTCGTCCTCTATGGCCACCACCTCTGTTAAACTGGTTCTTGCCACTCTTGTCTTTATTACTCTTCTTTGAGCCAGTGTTTTGTTTCTTTTCTGGTGGAAGAGCCTTTTTGCTTTCTTTCTTATATTGCTCCAAAAGTTTTTGGGCTTCTTCCTTCTGAAGTTCAACGTAGGTTATTTCATCAAAGCACTCAGCTACCTCTGGGAGCGTAAAGTTTCCTTTCATTTTGAGGACTGCATGTTCTGGTAGGTCCTTCCCCTCTACTTCTGCTTTCTTCTGTGTTCTTTGCTTATAGTCTTCATCTTTTGGGCAAACTACAACAGCTTTTCGCTGGAAGCCTGCAAACAGGCACATTTTTCTCCTCTGGGCAGCAGCAGACACATTTGTCTGATCCAGAATGAAATTTCTCTTCTTTCGGGCCGCAATCTCAATAAACTTTCCGAGACGCTGTGGGGCTCTCTGCAACAGTGTGTTCAGTTTTCCAGTATCTGCCATTTGCTTCTTAAAACCTGCCACCATCATTTTATCCATAATGGTATTTGTTCCAAGAATGTTGTACTTCCCTGGATTTTCTGCTGCATGTTTAGTAACCCAGGTAGTTTTACCAGCTCCTGGCAAGACAATCATCATCACAACTTCACAATCTTTCTTTTCTTCAGGTCCCTTTGGTCCTCTCACTCGATCCTCTAAGGGAACATTCTGGATGAAAGTATATTCTTCAGGTATTGGAAAATATGGCTTTTCCTTCTGACCAAAATTAAATTCAACTGCACTGTTGTGGCAGAGAACGTGTGGGAAGAATGGCCGTCCAGCAAGAACTTCCTTACTGATTTTGAAGGCAATGCCAAGATCTTGTCCATTCTTAGCATAGGAGAGTTCTACTTCATCACTTTCAAAGTTAGCAAAACACGTAATCACATCATTTTCATCAAATTTCTCTCCGTAATCTTCAGTCTCACAATTGCATGTTTTTATTCCTTTTAAAGAACACCCATAAGAAAATTCTTCTTCACCAAGCAACATTCCACTCGTGGTTAGTGACCAGCCAATTCGAACTTCATGGATGTCAATATCTTTTGTATATAAATGCCTTACTGGGATCTTCTCTGTAACCTTCATTTCAAAACAGACTTTGCCTTTTGACACACCGTAAGAGGCCCTTCCGCCAGCCCAAAGAAAAGCAAAACTCTCCATAGTAAGGGAAGAAGCACTGAGGCGATCTCTTGATATTTTAAAATGTAGATCACAATTATAAGTATCAAGACAAACCACTGTGTCATCCAAGTGTTCATCTTCTTCTTCAACAGGTGGCTGAGGAGATTTGGCTCTGTTATACTTGTTCTCTTCAATGTACTCAAAATATCCACGGCCATGATCTTCTCGAGGTCTTTTAACACCTCTCTTTTTATCTCCGCCTTTCTGCTCTGTTTTGCGTCTCCTCCCGCCTGCTGCTGGCCCTGCCTCGCCCCGGGCGGCGCCACCGTCACCGCGAAAAGCGAGGTGGGGCCGCTGCTCTTCCCCGCGGCCCCCTTGGCGGCCCCGCGCTGCTGTTGGGTCTGCTGCTGCGGCGTCGCCGGCGGTTGAGGCTGCTGCTCCCCGTGCCCGCTCTCGTCGCCCGCGCCTTCCTCCTCGTCTCCGAGCTCATCCTCCCCTTCCTGGAAACCCTGATCGTCGCCGTTCTCGTCTTCCGAGGCGTCCTCCTCCTCCTCGGGCCGAGTCGGCTGCCCCCGCGGCCCCGTTCTCTTCTCCTCTCTCCATCTGGTCGCCATCCAGGGCGGTGATCCCTTCCTCCTCCTCTTCCTCCTCCTCCTCTTCTTCGTCGCCGCCAGTCGCGGCCTCCTGCTCGAGGCCTGCTCCCAAGCGCCCGGGGGAATCTCCGCCCAGGTCTAGGCTGCCGTTCCCGGGCTCCATGGCGGGGCGGCCCCCAGCCTCCTCGTCGTCCAGCGCGGCCTGGAGTCGCTCCATGAGCTCGGCCTCGAGCCCCTTGTCAGAAAGGCGCCGCTTCTTAAGCTCCTCTTTCAGCTCTGACACCTTCAGCTTTTTTACATTAACAGGCGAGGAACTCATGGTGAGGGCCCCAATTCACCGCTAGGCGCTGGCTCAAACTGGGCTCCGCTCGCTCGGCCACTGGTGGCGGCTGC